GGGGGGGGGGCATCTCCTAAGTCAGTGCCCCATCCTAAGCTGCTGTCCTCCCCAGAAGCCCTGCTGACTTCCACTTTCATTTGAACAAACCACCACTCTTCTAATTGTTTCTTGCACCCTTCTTCCCCTCAGCACCTAGGACAGGACAGGCACAGAAGGAGCTCAGCCAACACCTGTCCAATGGACAAATTCGGGCGATCACTATCCCCTTGGGTCCTGAGAGGCGCGGGTGAGACCGGCCCGGGGAGAAGCTGTGTCAGGATTGCCTCATCTGGCATTTGTGCCCTCTGTGTTCCCCGTGGGATGCCCCCCGCATCCTCAGAGACCCAGAGCTGCTTCCCTGGCCAGGAGGCCACTCAGCCCTGCAGCAGCGCCCGTGCCCGCAGCCTGGAACTCACTGGGTTCTTGAAGGGAGGCTGGATGCTGCAGGAGGCCATCTCTCCACTTCTGTGGTCACCGCTGCTTCTCACACCAGCCAGGCAGTTCCCTGCACTGGGGAGGACTTTATAAAGAAACAGAAACCAAAGCTATTTGGCAGTTATTCAATTGGGAGGAGCCAGGAGCAAGAAGAGATGGGTGTGAAGAAAGGGAAAGTTAGAGTGCTGGGGGAGGAGGAGAGAGGGTGGACCTCGGACAGGAAAGCAGGTGCTCCCACTCCAGTGACCTTCCCTTCCACGCTCCTCCTCTGCTCCACCCAAGACTGAATCCTGTTTGTTTCATATACAGGTTCACAGAGCCTGGCAACGCAGAAATGACAGTGAGTTTCCACAGGCGGCTGTCCATAGGTGTGTGGCTATGTCTCCTGAGCATACTCAGTCACAACGTCCAGAAAACAATGGGGCTGCTGGACAGGGCCACACAGGGAGGGGTCATGGTGGTGCTGGAAGGCCTGGTGTACCCATTTTACACACAGAGAAACTGAGGCTCAGAGAAACCGAGGGACATGTCCAAGGTCACACAGCTCTCTAGTGGCAGCCTGACCTCTATGAGCATGCTGAGGTTCTCAAAAAGGTATTTCTCGTCTTTAAAATTCGATTCCTCATATGAAAACATCCCCATGTAGAAAGAAGTGTTTTACACATGTAAAACCTCATCATGGAGGTTATGATATCCCCGGTTATAGTGGTCCCCTGGGAGCTTCTGAGTCCCCTTTCTGTGAATTTCTCTCTTTCCTCTCTCCTCCCTCTCTTCTCCTCTCTCCCTTTTCTTTCTGGGCTTTGGCATGGGGAGAGAAGTCGTGGACATAATGGAACATTCCAAGCCATGGGAAGGTCAGGGCAACATGTTAAATAAACTGCCTTTAACTGGCTTCAGCACCTAGTTAAGGGAAATGAATGAACAGAGACTAGCAGGATAGGCTGGGTCAGGGAAGTAGGGAGGAGAGGAGAGGAGCTGTTGCAATAAACTTATGTAAAGTTAAGCAGGTCCCTGCAATGTGCTGGAGAGATAACAAATGTGCTACCAGTCAAGCCTGAATGAGCAGTTAAGGGCCATATAGGCACCAGTGGGTAGAAGGTGCCCCAGGGTCACACATGTGTCTGTACCACTCCTCCTTCTGGAACCTTGTCTACATGCACCGAATCTGCAGACTGACTTCCTTGCAGATTGGAGTGTAAATAATACAACTTTGGAAAACAATTCGAGAGAGATGAAAACGTACGCATCTGTTCATGACAGCTTTCTCACCATAGCTCTAAACTGGAAACAGCACAAGTGTGCACCAGAGAAAGAAGAAACATTCCTGAGGCAAACTCCCAGAGTGGGGTCAGGCTCCAGGCACAGCAACCAAATCAAAGTGCATCCTGTCCTTTGTTCTCAAAATTTATTTTCTTTTCTGAGCAACGGATCCATCCAGGCCCCAAAGGGTCTCATCTTTTTACACCTCTCTTTTTCTTCTTGTAGCACACCCTCGTTTCCCAGGGTCTGTAGGAAAACTTACCTTTAGTTAGTAAGGTCAGTAATCATTAAATAACTATGGTCCCATTTCTAATAGGTCCCCTCCCCGCTTTCACAATCACACTCAACGTTTCTGTCCCCAACAGAACTGTGATACAGGAAACATCAGTGAACCTCAGACTGAACAATGAACCTCGGAGGGCACAGGCTGGGGTGGGGGGCCACGAAGGAGTCTTCTGGAAGCTGGAAATGTTTTGTAAGCACTATCTCAACAAAGTACTGTGGGGGAAAAAACAAAGCTCCTGGAGCCCAGCGTGTCCAAACAAGAACATAGACATCACTGGGTGCTTTGGAGGTGAGCCACAGCGAGTCCAGCTCAGAGGACAGCCCCAGGGCCCTCTGCTCCCACTCTGCAGGGCGGGGCATTCTCAGCTTAATTTAAGACAGTAGGGAAGCATCCTCCAGACACAGTGCCAGGGCATGGTTGACCTCAGCAGCTTGGTACCATCACCATGCAGTCACGATGGCCTCCCCCAGCACCCAGCTCCAGTCTTAAGGAGGCAAGGGGTGGCCCTAGGCAAAGTTCCTTCTCAGAGCTCTATTATTCAAAATCCCAGGCACTAATCCAGGCTCTCTCTTTGTTCTCGGCTCTGGAGACCATGTGATCCCTTAGGGTGGCCACTATCAAAAACCTGAAAATGACAAGTGTTGGCAAGGATGTGGAGANAGGCACTAATCCAGGCTCTCTCTTTGTTCTCGGCTCTGGAGACCATGTGAGTCTGCCACGTCGGATCCCTTAGGGTGGCCACTATCAAAAACCTGAAAATGACAAGTGTTGGCAAGGATGTGGAGAAACAGCCCTTGTACACGGTTAGTGGGCATGTGAAATGGGGAAGGAGAGCCGCAATGAAAAATGCAGTGTAAGTGCCTGGCATTAGCTTTTTTATTGTAATGTAAGTGCCTGACATTAGGCATCTGTTTCAAAGATAATCCATTTCAAATAAACATATTGCCAGCCAAGTAATAGCTAAACAGATAAGCATTCAGGCTGCTCCCAACCATTAAGTTACCATTGTAGAAAGCCTTGGGTAACCTAGATGAGTGTCCTCACTTTGTCTTCTTGAACCCTAACTCCCACCTAGTCACCCGCTTGGAACCCAGTAAAGGCAGAACCCCAGGTCCCTGATTCCCCTCCCCGTGCCCCCCCCAACTTTGCTGCGTGGCCCCAGGCATGCTGTGTAGCCTCCAGGGCTTGTCAGGAATAACCCTTGTGTTTTCACAGTTCCTGGAGGACTGCTGCTGAGGTGCATTTTGCAATCTCAATAAGAACCACAAGGGCCGGGTTCAGCTGCAACATTGACTCTGGTTGGGGAAATGTCTGTGGGGGCTCAGCACAGGTAGGATGGGGCTGGGTGAGTGCCCCAGGCCATTTCTAGCCAATAGACCTGTGGAACAAAACAGCATGGCAGTTCCTTAAAAATACTAAACATCTAATTAGGCAGGAAAGACCGGCTTTCCAGTGCCCCCAGGGAACAACAGGCAGATTCCCCTAGATTAACTGGGGGAGGGATAAACTGTAAGTGGGAAATTCCTCTGCTGAGGCATGTGCAGTAGAAGCCAGATGACAAAGCAAAATTGTGAGGCATGTACAGTAGGAGCCAAAATAGTGACCATCAGGGGGAGAAGCCTAGTCTGGGAAAATCTGGGAAAAGAACCAAGTAGGATAAGGGCATGAAACCCAGGAAGATCCAGGAAAGGAATTGGATAGTTTGAAAGAAATCATACCCTTTCCCAAACCCAAGGAAATGTAATCAAAGGTCCAAGGCATTCTCCCCGCCCCCCAGCAGCCTCACAAGTTGACCTGCAGGATGGGACCGTGCTGGAGCACCAGAGCTTTGGGTGCTGGGGTAATGGCACAGCAGCCCTGCTCCTGGGCTGGGTGGCTCCTGGGCCTGCAGCCCCAGAGGCTGGACTTCTGCAGCAAGATGGAGCTGAGCCACCTGGTCATGGATGAGACATCATCTAAGCCCTTCCTTTGTTTTCACCCCAATAAATCTTGCCAAATCCTCCTATTTGTGTATCCCTGAAATGCATTTCCTGTGATACCATGGAAGAATCCTATTTCCTCTGGCAACAATTAAGAACCAAGAGGTGAAGGGGGGAATTTTCCCCTTCCCAACACCAGCATAATCAGGACAGTAAGGTATTGTTGTAAAGATAGACAAATAGATCAGACAGAATAGAAAGTCCTGAAGCAGACCCACACTTATTTGGTCAATTGCTTTTCAACAAAGGCACCAAAGCAACTCAATGTGGAAAGGAAATCCTTCTTAGCAAATGGTGTTAGACACATTAGCTGTGCATATGGAAAAAATATACCTTGATCTATACCTCACGCCATACACAAAAAATAAACTAGAAATGGATCATAGATGCCAACGGAAAACCTAAAACTATAAATCTTTTAGAAAAAAATTATAGGAGGATATCTGGAACCTGAGTATAGGCAAAGCCGTCTTGAACAGAACCCGAAAGGTACTATNTAAATCTTTTAGAAAAAAATTATAGGAGGATATCTGGAACCTGAGTATAGGCAAAGCCGTCTTGAACAGAACCCGAAAGTTACTATAAAATAAAAGAAAAAGATGAAATGGACTTCATCAAAATTAAAAACTTCTGTTCATCGACCTGCTAAAATAGCTACCATTATAAAGACAGACAACGCTAATTGTTCTCAGAAATATGGAGCAACCAGAACGTCCACTTGACTGTCAGCAAGAGTGTAAATTGCAAACCACATTGGAAATTGTTCCGGTAGTTCCTCATAAAATTAAATATACCTTCTTTATGACCTAGAAACTTTACTTCTAGGTATTTACTCCAAGTGAACAAAGTCACACCTCCACACAAAGGCTTGTGTGTGAACACAAAGTCTAACCATACAATAATAGGATAGTATACAATAATAAAAGCTACTGGTAATCACAATATAGAGAAGTCGCAAAGATACTGTGCTAAGAAAAAGATGGCAAATGCACAATGTACACCCTGAATGCTTTCGTTTATATGAATCTATGGTGAAAGAAATCAAACAGTGGTTGCCACTGAGAGGAGCAGGGGTTGCCTGGGGAGGGGCCAGAGGGATCTCTCTGGGGTGATTGT